CACCGCGGGAATCTGATATTCCTAGTACAGCCGGGCAACTACACTCGGCCCGTGTAGGAATCCCCTTCAGGGTCGGATTCGTTACAACGTAGTGGCATCAGTGTCACTTGGAAAAAATTGCTGAAATTTCAGAGTCATGTGCTAGGTAAAGGCTGAAAAATCAGCCCCACTAAAAGCTGAACACTGGAAAATCAGGCTAGCTAAAAAAAAAACCCTGGAAATCAGGAATTTCAGGGAAAAATTCCTGATATCGTAGGCCCTGCCTATCATGTATACAAACCATCATCATCAATTTGGTTCAAGGTTCAACAAAAAAGGGGAAAAAAAAAACATACGAGACCGAGTTTCGTATCAAAAGATAAAAGAACACGTAGTTTTTTTTAATCCAAATATAACGGCAAGATTAAGGTCGTTCAAACTTCAAACGCATGTTACAATTGTTGCTTCGCAACCCTAAGACGATTTCGTCGCCTCTTGTTTTCTAGTGTACTCTGATTGAACAGACTAGAAACGCGTACCGACTCTGATTCAATGTACCTGTTTTGGCGCCGTAACCCGGGATTAGCGGTGGCACAAGACTGTTACCCCGTCAATCACAGGTGATCAGTGACAGCACATCAGTTTCCACACCGACGCCGCCCTGCGGCCACACTTGACCCCAACGGCACCCACGTTGCTGCATTTTGCAACATTCCCTTTTACGGTACCATTTATAAAATCACTACCGTATCAGATTAATGTCAATTGGTAACTCTGAAGAATCAGAGTTTTTATTACTGACACTCTGAAATTTCAGACTTTTCTTCTTACCGTAACAGACTCTGATACCGTACTTCAGACAACAATTCTGTACCAAGTCTGAACCCTCAGACAGCCCCAATAACGAAACTGAGGGCCTGCTCATGGATTTTGGTTTGCTCAATACCCCAGAGATTGGTTTTCAGATATCAGTAATGAGTACCGTACCATTACCCGTCAGGCCCCGGATAGTAGCGCCCCTGGGGGTATAAAAAAACACTGTTTTTTAGGGGGTGCGCTTATAATCGAGGAAATTTATAAGCGCCGGCGTTTATAAAATGGCAAAAATGAAATGTATTGTTTTAACATGAAATTGAAGCATTTTCAAAAGAGGATTCGACGGACATCTAGAACGTTCGCTTCCGTGCATGAAAACTGCGTGACATGGCCAACAAGGCGTGGAATCACGCCCATCACGCCTTGCTGGCCTGGCCAGATTCATCGAACATGAATCTGGCCCATGCTAGCGCACACGTAGTTTCGGGTGCGACTGCCCAATCAGGGTCGCATGCCGTGCCAGGCACGACTCTGTACAACCACGCAATTGGCATCCCCGGCAAGATTCCACTCCACCGAGGCAGTGACCTCACCACCTCAGCTCCTCTGCGGGGGGATCTTGACAGTTTTCCCCCTTTCCCTGCAGAGGAACCCGGGCCGCGAAGTTGGAGGGGTCTCTTGCGAGGGTTTCAAACGAGGCTCATTCACTTCGTTTTGTTCAGTTTTATTGTTTTCCCTCGGCCTGCCTAGGCCATGGCGGGCCTTCCAGGCACTCACTTCCTATTTAGCCGTCGACCTGTTGTTGGCAACACTCGCGGTTACTCTCAGTGGCAGAGTCGTCGCCCAGCGCCTCCTGCTCCTCCAGCGCCTCCTGCTCCTCCTGCTCCTCCTGCGCCTCCTGCTCCTCCAGCACCTCCTGCTCCTCCCGCTCCGCCTATCGTTGTCGTCAACGGTCGGCCCGTTCTACAGCTCCTCCCTCGCGGTTACTCAGCTTTCGACGCGTACATCTCCGAGCCCGAGCGCAGCGGCGACGATGAACCCGGCCCCAGTCTGTCGCCACGATGGGGAGACGCGGAAGACTGCCCGTACGACGAATCCGCCACTGGTGCCGAAGACGATGTTGAGTGGTGGGCGGCCGACGGTCTTCCCGAGGACCTGCCCGTCCCTAGTTTCCCCCCGCCGAATAAAAAACGGCCCCACCCCTCCAAACAGAATCGTGATGCTCGCCCCCCGTCCCCTAGGAGCAAGCCTTCAACGCACAAGCGCAACTCCTACACTTCCCAGGAGAAGCTGCAGTGGATTGCAAAGTTGGAGTCCGGAGCTGTGAGTGTGCGGAGAATGTCCCGCGACACTGGTATCTCCCGAAAGTCCCTGTCAGAGTGGAAGTCGCGGAAGGGTGAGCTGGAAGGTGCGCATGGGGCTCGCAAGCGCCTTCACGGGCGTGGTCGGGCGTCGTGGTACCGCGACATGGAGATCGAGGTGTACTCACGTGTTCTTGCCCACCGGAAAAGGTGTCTCGCCGTGTCCGTCGGCCGATTGAAGAAGTGGTCACATGATGTGATGAAGATCCTGCATCCTGAGGTAAAGTGGGCTGGATCTCAGAGGTGGACTGAGCGTTTTCGACGGCGCTGGAACCTCACTACCCGAGCGAAGACCAGAGTCGGCCAGAAGTTGTCGTCTGGTGAGACGGTGTTTGTGCTGTCGCTCTCGTTTATGGCTGCTTACGACCTTCGAAATTCTAATTATTTCTTTTGTTTGTCTCTCCCACCTTTCCCTTGCAGAGTGTGAGACACAGGTGCAGAACTTCTGGAAGTTCGTGCGACACTCCCGCCGTCAGTACGGCATTGACAACCGCTGGATTATTAATGCCGATCAAACGCCACTCTGGCTCGAGATGCCAGCTGAACGCACAGTCGAGGAGGTGGGGATCCGCTCCGTGCCCATCCGCAGCGGCGGCTATCAAAAAGAACGCGTGACGGTGATGCTCGCCTGCACCGCCAGCGGCGAGAAGCTCAAGCCTTGGGTCTTCTTTAAGCGCAAGACAATTCCTAAGGGGAATTTCCCCTCCGGTAAGCCGAGCAGCTTGTGCAGTGACGGTGTCATTTACATGTGATATATTTTTTTTAATGTCCGATGCTAATCTGTCCGTGCGCCTTGCTCGGATGTGCAGATGTTGTGGTTGCCGTACATCCCAACGGTTGGATGGACACTGACGGCGTCCTCGCGTGGCTCGACGGGACGGTGAACCCGTATGTCAACCCCAGGTTCGGAGTACGCCCCAGGAAAGTGATGTTGGTCCTTGACTCCTACCGCGGGCACCTCACTGATGTAGTGAAGGCGAAATTCGGGGAGCTGAACATCGTCCCCGCCGTCATACCAGCTGGCTGCACCTCTGAGATCCAGCCTCTTGACGTCGCGGTGAACCGCTCATTCAAAGCAGCAGTCCGCCAACTGTACCAGGAGTGGTTCGAGAGCGAGGGGGTCGACTGCCTGACCGAAAGAGGTGAGCTCAATCTCAACGTGTACGATGTGTCTTCTTAGACTGTTTCCACCCTGTTCTGATTGCTGTAGTGTTTCCATGTGTGGCAGGCAACATCCGCAAGCCACCTCCAGAGCTGACGCTCAAGTGGATCTCCAAGGCCTGGAAGGCCGTGCCCAAGGAGTTGATTCAGCGTTCGTTTCTCACCTGTGGCATCAGCAACGCCCTGGATGGGTCCCAGGACAATCTCTGCATGCAGCACCGGCGGGACGCCGTCAAGGGTGAAGTAGAACTTGACGACGAGATTGCAGCAGATGGATTCTGCTGCAACAACGTAGAGGAGCCAGAGTCGGATGGGGAGACCGACCAAGATGGCTCCGCCACTGTTGATAGTGATGCCTAGGATGCTAGGAAGAAAAGAATGCATAGGGTGGTAGAGAAGATTAGTGAATGTTGCGGTAAACTATCAGTAGGATTTAGTACCGTAGTAGAATTGGAAAAATATTATGTTGTAGTGAAAATAGCTTGTAAAAGATAGGGTAAAAGATAGGATAAAATAAAAAACGCGAGGCGCTTATAATGTGGTGCGCTTATAATCCGTAAGCCTTCAGGGGTGCGCTTATAATCCGTAAGCCTTCAGGGGTGCGCTTATAATCGAGGACCGGATATAAGCGCCATCACCCTTTTACAACCGCCGGCGCTTATCCGAGGCCTGCGCTTCTATCCAGGGCCTTACGGTATTTGGTTACCGATATCATTACCGTACTACGGTATTTTATTTTGGTAATGAGTACATACAGTAGTATAATACAAGATAGTAGCGTATCCTAAATCCCACTGTATGCAATTCCGAAATCCGTTTGCTGATGTGGCTGTTCCGGGTCACAGTAATGAGGCGGCGTGTAAATAGCCATTGGTCTTAGAGAGTACATAGCCGCGGTTCGTGAAAACCCTGAAATCGGCAGAACAAAGGAGTTGCTAGACGACAGCAAGAGCCACTCAGCCACCATCTCTTGATATCCCTGCTCTGCTTCCTTCTTTGCCTGCTCTGTGTTTTTGTCCCCGAATGCCTGTGAGTGCCGTGGCACGAAATTTGTCTCGAGAATCTGTTGAAACCATGGGGAGCACACGAATGGAGGAAGAGTACTTGGGTGGGTTATGGGGAGTGGAGTGGACGGGCGGGCTATGGGAAGTGGGGCAGGTGGGTTATGGGGAGTGGAGTGTTCAGGTGGGCTATGGGGAGTGGGGCAGGTGGGCTATGGGGAGTGGGGCAGGTGGGCTATGGGGAGTGGGCAGGTGGGTTATGGGGAGTGGAAAGGTGGGCTATGGGGAGAGGGTAATCGGAATCGGAAAGTTGGAACAAAGGTGCAGTCATCGTGAAGATGCTGCAGGGTATTTTTGAGAATTCCATCGTGAAGAGAAAGGTGAAGAGATGACTGCACCATTGATATGGATGCCTCTACCATGTGCTCACCTTGCCTAAGCCTGCACACAAGGTGCAGTCATCGTGAAGAGAAAGGTGAAACCTAAACCTGAACTACTAGTATTTAGAGAAAGGTGAACCCTAGACCTGAACTACTAGTATTTAGAGAAAGGTGAAACCTAAACCTGAACTACTAGTATTTAGAGAAAGGTGAACCCTAAACCTGAACTACTAGTATTTAGAGAAAGGTGAAACCTAAACCTGAACTACTAGTATTTATCAGCAAAGCGCAGAGGCACTGACCTTGCCGGGAAAGTGCGAGCGGATGGCCATCTTGAAGTCGATGGAGTTGGTGATGAGCATCCAGCGCACGGTGAGAGGCGGGGGGTACCACATGTCCTCCACTGCCTGGTGGAGTGAAAGGAAAAGGGGGAAGGCGGGCCGGCGGGGTTGGGGTTTGAGACACGGTGAGAGGCGCGGGGTACCACATGTCCTCCACTGCCTGGCAGGGAGAAAGAGGGAGGAAGAAGGAGGAGTGGGGGGAGTGGGGGGGAGAGGTTGGTTCAGATGATGGTGAGACGATGTGATGAGCATCCACCGTAGAGTGAGATGTGGGGGATACCACATATCCTCCACTGCCTGGCGAAGATGGGGGAGGGGTGATGGTGGGGTGATGGTGATGGTGGGGTGATGGTGGTGTGATGGTGGGGTGGGGTGGGGTGGGGAGATGGTGGGGTGATGGTGGGATGATGGTGGGGTGGGGTGATGGTGGGGTGATGTTGGGATGATTGTGGGATGATGGAAGGATGATGGTGGGATGATGGTGGGATGATGGTGGGATGATGGTGGGATGATGGGGGCAACGTTTTCGCGAGTGATAGGCGATAGGGCTCAGGGTTCTCACCTTGTTTTGAAACGTCTCAAATCGGGCTCAGGGTTCTCACCTTGTTTTGAAACGTCTCAAATCGGGCTCAGGGTTCTCACCTTGTTTTGAAACGTCTCAAATCGGGCTCAGGGTTCTCACCTTAGCACAGGCCAGAATAGGAGCAGCGTGCTCCAGGGCAGCAGCCATGGAGGCGGGAGTGACGCTGCTGGTGGTGGCGTGGGGGTCTCGCACCACACTGTCGCTCATCTGTGAGTCGGTCTTCAAGGCGATTTCTCTCCCTTGATCCTATCTCACCTTGGCACAGGCAAGGATGGGAGCAGCGTGCTCCATAGCAGCAGCCATGGAGGCGGGAGTGACGCTGCTGGTGGTGGCGTGCGGGTCGCGCACCACACTGTCGCTCAACCGCACGTGCACCCCCACCACCACCGTCCTCACCTCTCGCATCTCCTGCATCAGCCGCGCCACCAGCGGCCACACCTCCTTCCTGGGCCTGCGTGAGGGGCGAGGGGTGGTTAAAGGTTGTGGGAAAAGAAAGTGGGGGGGAAAAGGAGAGCGGGAGAGGAGATGTCATTGCTCAGCCGCGCGTGCACCCCCACCACCAGTCTCCGCACCTCCCACATCTCCTGCAGCAGCCGCGCCACCAGCAGCCATGCCTCCTTCCTGGGCCTGCGGTGGGGGCTGGGGGATGTATGAGAGGTGGAGCAGAGGGGGGAAGATGCGGGGAAGGGTGCGGGGGGAGAAGGGGAAAGGGGGAGAGATGTCAGTGATCAGCCGCGCATGCACCAACATCACCACCGATGGGAGTGCTCCTGACAGTGAGGTGTACCTGACGGTGAGCTGTACCTGACGGTGAGCTGTACCTGACGGTGAGCTGTACCTGACGGTGAGCTGTACCTGACGGTGAGGTGTACCTGACAGTGAGGTGTACCTGACGGTGAGCTGTACCTGACAGTGAGGTGTACCTGACGGTGAGCTGTACCTGACGGTGAGGTGTACCTGACAGTGAGCTGTACCTGACAGTGAGGTGTACCTGACGGTGAGCTGTACCTGACGGTGAGGTGTACCTGACGGTGGGCTGTACCTGACAGTGAGCTGTACCTGACGGTGAGGTGTACCTGACGGTGAGGTGTACCTGACGGTGAGGTGTACCTGACAAGGAATCGGAGAATGCAGCCGAAGGCATACGGTGGGCGCAGCCCGGTCGCCCTGAGCGCATCGGCCCACTCGCCCTTTCTCTTTGTAAGCATCTCCGTCAGAATCCCCCGGTTCCACAGCACCTTCACGTTCCGAAACGCCTTAAACTTCGCCAGCTGCTGCAAATCCACCCGATTCCCGTTCAAATCGAGAAACGGAATCACCCCCGGCGGGAAAGACTCGTTCAGGTTACCCGTGCGCCGGGAAGGCTCCATGGGAACATCAGGGGACGGGCGCCAGTCGATGAATGCGGGCTCAAACGCGTACTGGATGCAGTCGTGCCGGATTACAAACGCCCGGCGGTCTAAAAGTGCAGCGACAAAGGAGGAGACGACGCCCACTAGAAAGTCCCCGAACCCGCCGCAGTGCCCGAGCTCGTCAAACGTGAGGAAGCGAACGGACGAAGCTGGGAGGGCCTGATCTGACAGGCTTGGGTCTGGGACTGCCGCTGCTGCTGCTGATGCGGTTGGTGGTACGGGTGATGGGGAATTTGCGAGAGCGAGCAATCGGCGAGAGGAGGGAGGGGGAGTGGGAGAGGGAGGGGGGGTGTAGGCAGCGGAACTGGCGGCGCGAATGGCGGAGTGCAGGCGGACGTAGTCGTCCCGCCATGCCGTGCCACAGAGCGTGTCCGAATACTCAAAGTCCACGTGGGCGGGGGACGAATCTGTCCTCGCTATAGTCAGACGCGACTGGAGCACCTGCGAGGATAGGGGGAATCAGGGAGTGTTGGGTGAGGGAACTGAGGGCTGGATAAGGGGGACGAACTTGCCTGAGAGCAGGCATGTGTGAGATAGGAAATGTGGGGGAACAACGAGAGACAGGATCAGTGGGGAAGGGGGAAGCAATCGAGAGAGAGGTAGTAGGGGCTCAAAAACGGGATCATTGGGGAGATCAGGGAGGAAGGAGGAAGCAGATCATGGCGCTGGTTATGATGGGGAAGGAAGCAAGCGGTGATGGTCCGGGGACGACCGACGACAGACGACGGGTTTGCGCAACATTTCTTGCGCGACAGGCTTGTGCAACGGCTTGCGTGACAGGTTTGCGCGACAGGCTTGCGCGACAACCGTCGCAACAGGCTTGGCAACAGCCTTGACTGGAGTGCGATGAGCGACATCCTTGGCTGAAGCGACGATTGCGTTGAGCGACAATTGCGTTGAGCGACAGCGATTGCGTGGAGCGACAAGGATTGCGCGACAGCCATGCATCGAGTGGATGACCGCGGGATGATTAAGAGAGGCGAGAAGGGGGATTGGAGAAGGGCTGAACTGCGGGAAAGGGAAGGAAGAGCTTGAGAAGGCGGGAGCATTACAGTGGCAAGGACTAGCATCGATGTTGCTGTCGCCAGTAGTGGCGACAGTGATACACGGCGAGAACGTGGCGAAATCATCACGGCGCAGAAACTGTTCGCCAGTCGAGAAGCTGATCCCAACTGCGAAGCTGACCTCCGGCGCTGATGGTGCTAAGAACTAGAAACTAGAACAGCGGATGAACGGCGATGCAAAATGAATAGGAACAGCGCGATTGCGAAGGTCAAGTCGACCTCCGGCGCTGATCGTGGCTAGTGATAACTGTTGACTTTTGAGTCGACTCAAAAGTCGTGGCTAGTGATAACTGTTGACTTTTGAGTCGACTCAAAAGTCGTGGCTAGTGATAACTGTAGAAATGCTTTCCATAGCGTGCAGTCAGGATGTGAGCAGGCGTGGCATTTCATCGGAGAACAAGGCGAGCATCAGACGCTGTAGTAAAGTTTCTATGGAAAGCTGATCAGCGGCAAGTACTGATTCCAGCTGATACGCTCCGTTGCGAGCAGTAGTACAACATCAACGGGTCTAAACTAGCAAGTACAAAAAGAACGCGATTATTTAAGACAGGAGTAGGGTGCGGGAACGGTGCAAAATAGCAGTAAACAGATGCGACCTGAGACATACACGGGGGGCCGGGGTGAGAAGAAATGGCAACGAGTAAGTGGTAGGTAGTACGTGCTCCCGTGAAAAACGGACTGCATACGACGGACTCGCGCCGCGTCAGGAAGGTAGGTGGCCTTTGTGATCATAACTCGGGTAATTATTTTTTTAAGTAACCAATATTGAGCCCGGTGACGTTCGTAGTCTACCACGCGGCTAAATGGTACCCATCAGATCATCCGATCCCCTTTGTGGTACCCATCTTCCCTTCGTGGTACCCATCTTCTCTGCGTGGTACCCATCAACTGTGCGTGAATTCCCTGACTGGTACCGCAACATTTCAACCGAGTTGTACACCGTACGACAAGGGCCGCAATGCCTTTTTTCAGTATATCGTATCAACGTTTACAAGTATAATATACTTAGAAGTCCGAAGTGCCACTAATAGAGTCAATACATCAAACGCATGAACTATAATATAGTGTAGAAAAAGAGCAGCATGCTTAAATAACACATTCATTTTGTATATTATTTAAAATCAAAAAAATCCACAAAATTACATGTCAAAATATAACGGAAATCTGATATATTGCATCAACATAAATAAATAAAACTTCTATAACATACAGTCATCTTATGCATAATATGTATAATGATTTGAGGTAAACTTAATTTCTTTGTCTTTTTTTAAAAAATCTCAAGAATGGCCGTATTAATTATTTCTGATTTTATATTTAGCTATGGGGTTACATGTTCTGCGGTTCTATAAATTGTCTTCGAATATCCGATTGAGCGTTGCAAAGTATGGTTGCGAGATTCACACTACTTCTTGCTCAGTAGGGTGAGCTTTCGAGGGTTCCAAGGTAAAGTCAGGATTTGATAAGGGGAGTCGATTTATTTCTAGGTTGCACTCTGTCCAGTGTAAGGCACGTTCCAACATTTATGTTAAAGGGTATTTATGTTCACTCAAGAGATTGTTAACGTTAAGACAGTCTACTGAAAAACGCATTGAAACACTTGCTGTACGGTGTACAGCTCGGTTGAAATGTCACGGTACCAGTCAGGGAAATCGCGCACACCTGACGGGTACCCACGTAGGGAAGATGGGTACCACGAAAGGATCAGACGATCTGATCGGTACCACCGAGCCATATGGTGGACTCAGATGTCAGATGGCTCGATGTCGGTTACCCAGGAGATAATTAATTCGCTTTGCCACGCACGCCTTCCAATGTAGCGAAGGATTTCTGATCCGGAGCCTTCGCACGAGAGATGATGGTTAGTGCTGGTGCGTCGGCGAAATCTATGAACGAAGTGCCTCAACGAGCTTCGTGAGCAGTGAAACCTGTGGAGCTGCCAACGCACCCTGCTTCTGGTACTGAACAGTATGTTCTGATCGAGCTGTGACAGCGACAGTAAGGGCGCGTGTCTTTTGAAATATTTGCAATTAAACACAGGTCGACCTGTAGTCGACTATCTCGTCATTTCATTGTCGAGTCGCGTGTTCACCTTGACGTGGAGCACAAGGCACAAGAAATGCTCGACTTTCAAAGGTCGAATTTGTACAGTAAAATACGAGTCGCACCAAGTTTCGTAGGTTATCCTGTCTATACAGTGAAGCTCGTTAGCACTTTCAACTCTGGTAACCTGGCGCGACGTGGCTCGTTACCATCGCGAATCTCGCAGCTTCTTCGAAGAACACACGATTGGAGAACGTGCTCGGGGATAGTCGAATGCGAGGTCGACCCTAGTTCAGTGTCCTTCTGTTTCAGCAACTTTGAGCTTGGACACACGTTCGTCGTCAATAGCTCTGTACGAAACTGGCGAAGCAGGCTACCATCAAAAGTTCGACCTTTTTTCCGAACTTTTACACCAACAGACACGCGCCCTAGCTGTCTTGTCGGGACACTACTGGTTGGTTCAGTCAAATTCTCTGTTCACCACCATTCGTTGCAGCTTCCACGTGGAACGAATGTGACCTTCACGGGCGAGCCATACCCTTCACGAATTGGAATAAGTGCGAACGTCTAAGGAAATTCCTTTTTCCTTACTTCGCGTCCCTGCTCAACGCGTACCTCACTGTAGCACCTCAGTCAGCACCGTTACCACTCGCGACCATCGCATCATTCATCATCCCGCCCTTTTCGCACATCGCATCCCGACCTCACGGCTCGGCTGGTAACCCGCGCTCCGGGCCTACGCTTCGACATTTTCCCAACCTCAGTCCCAGGCTCGTCGCGCGACAACCACAGTCCATTACCGTTACCACTTTCGCTATATAATCCTTCGCTCATACCTTCGCTTGTACTTTTGCTTCGATAGTGCAATTCTCGTTCGTTCACTCAATTGCACTCGTAACACTTGGTATTCAGAGCCTACAATCTCCTCTCGGACCGCATTCACACCTTCGTTTCCCCACTATCTCGATTTTTGGGGGGGGTAGACGTCTCTCAGCGATCAAGCACCGCCGCTCGTAGTGCTCTCTCGTAAGCACGCACGGCCACGACAGAGGCTCTCGCTGAGCTTGCCCGACACCCCCGCCATGGCCGACCTCACTCTCGCCACGTTGACGCAGGAGCAACTCGATCGTCTCGTGCGACAATTGGAGGATTCGGCGCTTGAAATCGCGACGCTCACGGCGGAACGTAACTCCGCCCGTCAACAGTCAACGGCGAATGTTCCGACGACATCCCACGCACCAACCAATGTTTCTGTACATTCGGAGGAGCCGATTGTCATCTCATCCGGCACACCAACGCAACACAACAGCACGGGACAACGCTCAGGCGCAGCCAGTGACGGCGCAGCCCAACCGATGCCTGGCATGGGAGGGAACAGGAGCACGCTAAGCCCACGGGAGCCCCGAGAAACCCGTCGGCACGTGGAGTTTGCGGCGACAAATGGAGAAAACGCCATGATGGCCCCAATGCCACTCAAGCCGCAACGCCCGCCCTGCTTCGACCCAAGCCAACGCGGCGGCCCGACAGTTCAATCGTGGGTCTTCACGATGAATGTGTTTTTCGACGCCAACTACGTCGAGTCGGACGCCGCCAAGATTCGGTATGTGGTTTCACTACTCAGGGGCCCCGCCATGGACTGGTGGCGAGTCATCGTGACGTCGCCGCGCGCCTACGAGCCACCGCCGCACGAGGAAGGGCCCTCGGGTCCAGCTGTCACCTGGAGTTCGTTCTGCGAAACAGCCCAATACAGCACGTGGGATGCGTGGTGCGCAGGGCTTCGGGCGCGTTTTGAGCCGATCGCGGCTTCGATTTCGGCGCATCAGAAACTGTGCACTTGGCGCCAGCTCGGGTCGGTTGAAGACTACACCAGCGGTTTTCTCGCACTTTGCGAACAGGTCGGCTATATGCACGAGGCGGAGCGGGTGGACCGTTACGTCGGAGGGCTGAAGCCGGACATATCGCACGAGATAATGCTACGCGGGCTATCGAATTTCAACGAAATCCTCGCGCTCGCCGAGAAAATCGATATCCTACGCCGACCGAGACCGGGGTCCTATTTCGGACATCGCCCTCGGGGACCGATCGAGCACGCCACTGTACATGCCGTCGCAACGAATGCAGCTGCCACGCCATTTAGAGGGCGCTGTTTTGCTTGCAACCGGCCGGGCCATCGCAAGAGCGAATGTCCAGAAGAGCTGAGGCGTCGAGGAGCAGAGCAGGGGAGGGAGTCTCAGAGGCAGGGAAACGCCAGCAGTCAGTAGAAGTTGGGCCAACTACTGACGAGACTGCCTGCTCGCCCAACCACACTGACCCTCACCGAGTCACAGTACCGATTCACGCCATCGATCGGGCTCGGATGAATAAGGAGGGTACAGCGACGGATTGCCCGGTACTGATCTACGGGAAAATACAGGGAGCAGCAGTGAAAATCTTCATTGACGGAGGAGCAAGTCACAGCTTAGTTAATACTGCAACCGCACGGAAATTACAGTTAATACTTAACCGGTGTTTACCTGAGATAGATGCACGCTTAGTCGACGGCACGCCATTGGCTATACGAGAAAAAGTGGAGCGAGTAAAAGTCCGCTGCGGGGGAAAATTCGGGTTTACACAGGAAATGCTCGCAACGACGCTGGATGGGCACGACATTTTACTGGGACGTGATTGGCTGCGACGGTACAACCCACGGATCGACTGGACGACGGGGAGCTGTACAGTGCGAAGTAGTGGTAACTGGGTCGTCCTACCTCGCTGGCGGCCACCCGAATATTCGACAGTCCAGGTCAACGCCATCACGATGAAACGGCTGTCGCTGCTGGAGCTGACGTGTACGCAGTGGATATCGCAGTGGTAGAAAAAGACGAGCAGCAGAGTGATTTAGAGAAACTACTAGCAGCCGTACCGACCGAATTACAGGCCTTATTGAAACGGTTCCCGGGGATATTTCCGGATGATTTACCACAGGGACTGCCACCTCAGCGAGCGCACGACCATAGGATCGAGTTAGAACCGGGGGCACAGCC